ACACGTTATTATCCAACGGGTGTATAAAAAACCTATATATAAGATTTCATACGAATACAATATATGTATGATAAGTGTTTTGATGATTTGATATGAAATGGTTTTGAAACATTTAATTTGTGGTGTACGATATGTTTTATGATATAAAATGTTTCGAAGAAATAGGCATCGCATTTTGAGATGAATGCGAAAGTATCATTCTTAGTTCATTTTTCTCCTTTAGAATGTTAGATAATGTCTACTCACTAAACTCGTTGATTGCTCACTCTCATTATTTCAATCTTATAGGATATTGAGGGATTGCTCATTGATTCCTTTTGGCTACTTTTCATGAAGTCGACACGTTGGTTGTATGACTTACCTTAATTATAATTCTTTAGAACCTATGTTTGTTTTGAATTGTAGTCTTTGATGCTCGTAGTTATAGCTATAGGTGTTGTGTTAGAGATTAATCATGAATGTTAATTTGAAGAAATGTAAGGATAATATTGTATTAAGAATTAATTATGGATATGAATTGAGAAATAGAATGATGGCATTAAAATTTTGATTTGTGTTAAAGTATCTATGTGATGGATATTAGTTAAGAATATTGTGAGATGAAATAATATTTGATGATATCTAATTAGCACAAGGATTTAAGCCTTGCTTGGGTCGAGGTGGGCCTTACGGTTCCTCAATTCTTGTGCGTTCATGGCTCATTCCCGAGGTCGTGACACTAAGACATTGTCAAATTAGCTTAGAAAAATCATAAACAAGAAGATTCAAGTGGAGATTAGCTAGATTGAAGCTTGGGAAGCTTGGAGAACTAGGAAGAACTTAGGAGTTAAAGGACAAAGTATAAAGGTAAGATTTATGATCAATTAATATTTAAATTAGAATTTTTATATGTAATTGGTGATGATATTGAGGTTGAATTGCATTGGGTTTTGTTTGAATGAGGAATTACTTAGATTAACATTAGGGTTTTTAAGACCCATTTGGGAAAAAATTTAATTAAGTGATTCTAAGTGTTTAACTAATGTTTAATTATCTTGGGTAAGTGGTTTAAGAAGTTAATTTGAAGTGGAATTAAGTGAATTTGAATAATTGAGAGATTGAAGATGATGAATAGTGAAAAATCTGAATTTTAGGTTTTAATTGAAAAGAATTTAGAGAAAATGAGGAATTGAGTTATATAAATACAATTAAAGGTGAATGGAATGAGTATTGGATGAAATTGGATAGAATTGATCATTTAACCAAATTAAGGATTGATTGATTAAAAGTTGATTGTTTAAGGAATGAGTTGAAGACTAGTAATGAGATATGATTAGATAATTGTTTAGAATTGTTAAAGAGACTATAGAGTCTAGTTAAGGTTATTAGTTTGAGTTCTTTTGATTGATTATGTCCTATCAATTATCTTGTATTCTCGATTCTAGAATAATTCAATTGTTTTTGAAATATATGATATTAATGGTTGTCCATCATGTGCTTGCTAGATTCTTTAAAGCGTACGACTCCTTCTCAACAACCTTGATATATTTAATTCATTCGATTCTTTGTTGTACTTGTGAGTAGATATTATACGAGTGTACTCGTGTTTTGAATTCTTTTGAATTATGTCTATCATGCATTAGTGATTTAAGAATGATTTCGAAGCATTCCATTAGAACTTAGATGGAAACGGACTCTCTAAATATTTAAAATATTTTTGTATCAAAATGATTTGACATGAATTGGAAAGAGATTTGAAAATGTGTCAAAACAAATACGTTGTTGGATTTGATATATGATTTCGATTTGAATGAATATGTGATAATCATTATTTTGACTATTAATATAATTTTTTAAAAATGCATGCATGGTATTTGAATTATTGGTTTGAAAAAATTTATAAGTATATTTGATTTTCGAAAATGTTTTCGAAACCCCGGGGAACCTAGCTAATGGGGGCATAACATTGATCTCAATGATACAAGGCTCCGACCACTAGGAGAGGTTAAGTGCTAGCCTATATGTCGATCAATATACAAAAAGCTAGTCACAAGAGGAGTGACTTTTGGGTGTTTGCACCCAATAATACATTATTTACCCTACGGGTGTATTAAAACCTATGTATATGATTTCATTTGAATACGATATATGTATTTATAAGCATTTCAATGATTTGATATGCAATGGTTTTGAACCATTTAAATTGTGACGTATGATTTGGTTTTGCAATATATATGTGTTTTGAAGAAATAAGCATTGTATTTTGAGATGATGTCATAGTCCATTTTTCTCCCGTTGTATGTTATATAATGTCTACTCACTAAGCTATTGATTGCTCACCCTTCATTATTTTAGTTTTACGAGATATTAAGGGATTGCATTTTTTCCTCCATTTGGCTACTTATTGAAGTCGGCACATTGATCACGTGGCTAACTTTCTCATAAATTTCTTAGAACCTATATTTGTTTTAAATGTATTCTTATAAGCTCCGCAATTATAGATGTAGGTATAATATTAGAATTTGATTTTAGATATTGAAATAAGAATAACATCGAATTAACAATTATATTGAAGTTATAAAATGATTATTAATTTGGGATAATGTAAAATGAAATGATATTTGAGGTGATAATGATTTGAGGATTTAAGTTTAGATATTCTAGGTTTGCTTAGGTCGAGGTAGGCCTCACGGTCTCTTCGATTCTCACACCGATCATGGCTCACTCTCGGGGTCGTGACATATAGGTATAAATATGAAAACCGAAATATTAGCTCTTTGAAAAGCCTTTGTCTATGTATACAATTATCATTTACTCAAGTTCATGTTGAATCGGACTCATTAGGAACAATTAATGCTATTAAGCATAATGTCTAAATGAGTTGGCAATATACATATCAAATATGTTTATGTCAACTTATATCGGTTAATCACGGATTTGATGACATATGGTATTAACGGAATGCGATAGCAAATAGTTTAGCAAATCCTACTCATGCACATAGCTCCAAATTTACTTATATGCAATATAAGGAATTAACTATAGATATTAGAAATATTTGTAATTATGATTCAATTGGAATATATAGTTACACAAAATAGAATTATTCGTGTATTTTTTAGGGGAAGGCTTCTTTGTCCTTTCAATTTATGAGTTAAGCTAAAACATCCCCTCTTTGTATGTTGATTTTCATCTAATAAAATTTTCCACTATACTTGCTCCTCTTTCTTAAAATAAGAATAATAAATAAATAAATATGCAAATTTTAAGTACAAAAATAAGTATACATAATATTTTTAAAAAAATTTTAAACTTTTGAATGATATTTATAATTTTATAGTGCCTCAAAAGAGTCTACCATCATTTATTTAATTTTTTTTTCAAATTTATTAATTTGACTCAATAGTAAGAATATAAATTTTATTACAAATTTTAATCAAACTACGAAATTTGTTAGTGTCAAGTCCAACACTAAAAAAAAAATAAATAAAATAAAAAAATTCATGATCACTTTAGAATCAAATTAAGAAATTTGTAAAATTAAAAATAGTAAATTATAATAGACTCATTTGAGATATTACAAAATTATAAATATTATTAAAAAAATTTAAAATTTTAACTAAAAAGCTCTACGTGTTTTAAAAAATACTATAAATATTTTATTTGATAATTAAAATTTACTTACTATCACAAAGATAATGCTAAGCCCATAAATGATATTTTGAATAAAAAAAAAATTACCTTTACTTTCTTTTTATATATATATTTTCTTTTATTTTTAGAGATAATGACCAAATATATTGTCACCTTATTTTATTTTTTAATTTTTCAAAATTTATTTATTTAAATTTATGTAAAAAAAGATTAAGACAAAAAATAAATTAGATGGATGATATATATATATATATATATATGACATCGTTGGTCCAAAAGTTAATGAAATCATGAGATTAAAGTAGAAATCAAACATAACAGAATGAACTTAAAATGAAAAAAATAGAGAAACTCAATTAAAAAAAAAAAAAAGTAACGAAGATTATGCATTAACTCATTCTTTGACTAAAGTTAATCATGTTTATTTATTTTAATATTATTTTACTTTAAAAAATGTTTTTTTCTCATCAATATTTTCATAATATCTATTTATTTTAGGTTTTTTTTTATATTTTAAAACAAAAAACAAAACAAATTAAAAAATAATATAAAATGAAAAACAAATAAATAATTAGTTTTGAAATAAAAAATTAATTAATTCATCTCTAAAAACAGAGACCAAAAAAAATAAAACAAAACTAAAACCATTAGATACTATTATCTGCAGTATTTGAAACAGCTGTTTACTAGACTCACACACTATTTATCCAAACTTAGACTTATTGTTTCTTTCACTTTAGAGTGATATTTTTGTAGTTTTTAAATATTTTTAAGATATTTATTATGAAATTTTTTCATGATATTATACTTTGATCCTTTTTTAAAAATATTTTTTTAGTCTATAAATATTTTTTTATTTGATTTGACTCTTTTTTTTTTATCATTTTGGTCATTGGCTTTCTTTTTCTGATATTTTAATTAAAAAATTTATGATAAAAAGATGTTTAGAAAAAATAATTTACAAAATAAAGTTTTAACTAAAAATATAGATAGAGATAAATAATATCTTTTAATAAAAATTTATAAAAATATAAAAAATAATTAGTAAAATATAAAATTTTGGTTAAAAATAATATAATTTAATAAATTTTTATTCAGTTTTGATTTAATAAATTTTAAGAGATATATAATATAATATACAATATTAAAATAAGATAATTTGTTAAAAATAATTTTATATATTTTGTGTAACGTACATATATATTACCGATAAAAAAAAAAAAAAAACTAATAATTTACTCTGATTTAATATCATTGGGTTTAGCGACAAAATAAGTTGATTTTTCAGACCCAAAACCCATTTCAATGTCAAATTTTCTGGGAAAAAACTTAAAAAAGACTTTGCCCATGATTCTTGTCCACTGAAGAACAGAGGGTCAGGCAGCCATGGCAAGCTTTTTCAATATCACATGTCGTCCATTCTTGTCTTCAAGAACCTCACTTTCTCCCTCTCCACCACCTCCTCACATTGCCCAACTAACCCAATTCAAGGTTTTGCTGCTCTCTCATCCCAATTTCACTTCATAATTTCTTGTTTTCAATTCACTATCTTCTTCTTTGTTTCTCTTTTGATGAAGGGTTGGTGTTGGAAAGTGAAGCGCATGTCATCTTCAGGGCCAAGTCAAGAGACTGAATCAGAACCACCTGAAACGACACGATCTCCATCAAATCCAGCTTCTTTATTGTCTTCTTCAAGCGTTTCAAGTTATAATTGGTGTGCAGGTCTTGGTGGTGTTGGGTTTCTTGAAACTGCATATTTAACATTCCTCAAGCTCACAAATTCTGATGTTTTTTGCCCAATTGGTGGTGGCAGCTGTGGTGATGTGCTTAGCAGTGATTACGCAGTGGTTTTTGGTATTTTTTTTTTTTTTTGTTAATTTCCAAAGTTTTTTTTTTTTTTTTTTTTTTGTCTGTCTGTGTGCGCTATAATTTGAGAACAGGACATTGTTTATTAGGAGCAATGCTAATGGCACTGGGGTCAGTGTCAGCAAACCCAACATTAGATTTTGTTAGAGGGTATGGGAAAACAAAAAAGCCAAGTTTTTTAACACATTGTTATGTTGGTTTTGATTTCAAGTTTAGGAATGCTTATTTGTTGTGGTCAAGAAGCAAACAATTCATTAGTTCAACGAAATTAAACTGCAAGCAGGGTGAAAGGGGATCTTGTTTAATGTATTTAACAGATTAGGAGTTTACGATTTTTTTCTACCTTTCTGTTCGTCATATCTAACATGTTAGCGAAAAGAAAAAGGAAGATCCTCACGTCCCACCAAATTAGAAGTGGAGGTTATCGCATAAAATAATTGTAGAAGTGCAAAAGAAAAGGTGTTGAGACTAACCTGGAAGAAGGGGCTGAAGGTTGAACAAAGCGTAGGAACTCGTTTAAGGGTTCTGTTTTGTAAGTCTAGAAAGCATAGTACTTGATCGGCATCTTGGTACAGGTGGTGGAAATGGGTCGGAACTCGTTTAAGCAACAACGGGAAAGAAAGTTTGGTCAACAATATCGTATAGGAGTACATTTTAACATTGTAATTTAAAGTTTAATACAAATAAACTGTCAATTGGTCATTCGTATAGCACTCCGATCCAGTTAGCAAAATTTGAATCTTTAGTTAAAGATTTAGTAATATAAACACGGCGGGACCCATTTGTAGATGCTTTGCATATGTATTACATGCATGATTCTAATTTGAGAATGGAGACATGTGATCCTCATACTAATGTGCTTTGCATGTGTGTGAAAATTGTGACACTTGTGACTGTCGTTAGAATTTCTTCTGTTATCAATTATTGTTTTTACTGTATAGTCTGTCTTTAGAATTTATCTAGGTTAACTGCAAAACGAAATAAATTTTAGGGTAATGTGATATATTCCTTTTACATTTGCATTCCAGGTGTTCCTCTTCCACTGATTGGAATGGTATCATATGGTCTAGTGGTCGCACTTGGTTTACAGTTGCCTGGAAAGAAGTTGCCTTTTGGTATTGAGGAGTCTAATGGTCGCTTGCTTTTACTTGGGTGCACTACCTCAATGGCAGTTGCTAGTGGATATTTTTTGTACATTTTAAGCACAAGGCTTTCAGGGGCATCTTGTTCATACTGTTTATTGTCAGCTTTCTTGTCATTCAGCTTGTTTTTCATCACTTTAAAGGTGTGGTTTCTTGTGCTTTTTTTTTTTTTCAATATATTGGACATGCCTCTTATCAGGTTCGTAAAATGATTTCATTTCTATTTCTGTTTCCCTCTTTTTGGGTGTACAAAATAGGATTTTGGTTTGGAAGAGATACAAAAGTTTTTGGGTTTACAACTATGTATTGCAAGCTTGGTGATTTTTTCGTTGAACACCTCATATGCGACTTCTCGACCTGCCAGTTCAAGGTGATTAAAATGTTTGCAAGGGTTGTAGCATTTCTGTATCACTTTCATTAGTATACTCTATAAGCAATCTTTATTTATTTATTTTTTTTTAAATGAAAATCTGGATTTATATTCTCATTGTTGGAACTCTTATTTTTTCTCCATGCAATTCCCTTGTCAATGCTATGTACTGGGTAGTTGCAGAATTCAACTGAGTTCATAAGTTAATATTGTCCTGGCGGGAATGCAAGAGTGCACTAAACGTTTACTGTTGTTAAGATACTTATATGTTGCTTTGCTATTATCATGCTTTGATATTGCTATTTGTTTTTGTTTTATTTTTATTTTTTAGATACCCTAATGTGCATGCTCTGCATTATTTTTGTACGGAAATCTGTGCCCTGAGATTTTTTCCATCTTCATCTCCATGATAGCAGTCTGGCTGATATTGACCTGGAATATGTTGCAACTGAGGTAACAACACCTTCAAGTCCTTTTGCTATTTCTCTTGCAAGACATCTACAATCTATAGGAGCTAAAATGTATGGAGCTTTCTGGTGTTCACATTGCCTAGAACAAAAACAGGTATTTTGGTCTCCTTATTTGCAGGTAGTATGCAAGTGTTTGACAGTCTTGTCAACATTCACCAGATAATCCTAGCATTATTGACTGTTTTCGTTCAATATGAATATTGAACTCCCTGGTGATCTCTACATATATGCTAACAGTAGATGGAGATTTGAAATGTAAATTCAAATGTTATCTGATTAGAGCCCATTCTAATATAGCGAGACATAATTGCATAAAGGGAAACAAAGTTTGCTTTCCATTTATGCCACCCTATGTGTACAGTAGACAAGCAAAATCATTATTAGATTTGTTTGCCTGTTTCATTGAAAAAATAGTGTTTGAATTATCACGAGTCTAATATTTGTAGAGAATCTTTTCCCATTCTGCCATGTATCCAAACAGTCATATGTGGCTAGTTACAATATTTTCTTCATGCTATTGATGCATAGATGTTTGGGAAGGAGGCAGCAGAACTGTTGAACTATGTGGAATGCTTCCCTAATGGATTTAGGAAAGGAACTAAAATGATCAAGGCGTGTGCAGATGCTAAACTTGAAGGATTTCCAACTTGGGTGATTAATGGTCAGGTATGGATATTTAAATGTACCGAGCCTTCTCTATTCCTTGACCACAAGATGGCATCATCTATTAATGGCTTTCTTTTTAGCTGAAACCCCACATCTAATTTCCTTGATTTTCTACTAGTAGCACAAATTAAAGTACCTGACTCAGTTCCCAATCTATGAGATTCTAGGAAACAGGGTTTGTTATCGGTTGTTGTAAAATTCTAGGCTGCTCAGTTTGGTTGATTAGACTATATACCTCTATTTCATTGATAACTCGTCCCAATCAGCAATGACAGCTGTTTGAAACAGCCATTGAATCATAGCAGAAGCTCTCTCTTCTATCGTTTGCCCTACTTGAAATGACATTCTCATTTATTTAAAGATGTTTTTTTTGCAGGTTTTGAGTGGAGATCAAGAATTGTCAGAGCTTGCAGAGGTATCTGGGTTCAACTTTGAGGAATCCAATCAACCAAGTTAGGTTTATAACTTTATGCTATAGCATAGAGCATCTGTATAGTTTACACTAAAGGTTACCTGTGAAAAAAGAGGAATTCGACTGAGGCAGAACAATAGGTTTTTTATAGCATGCCTTGATAGCTGGTGCCATCGTAATCTACCAGTTGTGTTGACCTTTGTGTTAAAGAATCAAAACATTGAACTAGAATCAGAGGGAAGGAACCCAGTAGCAAGCTAGTGCGGGTGAGCCTGGACCGATGGCCCACATATCAGCCATTAAACTGATAATGCTACGCTTAATCTTAGCCGAAAAGGCCGATAAAGTTACGAGTTTTGCAGAGTCTAGGAGCTTCTTTGTATAATGTTTCCTCATCCTCTGCTTTTATGAGAACCTTCTCTAGAGGGCAAGACGACGACGACAAGATGAATTCCCTCAAAATCAGGGAACGCTCAAGAAAATTTTGCCAGTGTCAAGAATGCAATTCCTAATGTTATCTTGAACCACAGTAGAGGAGAAAAAAATTAAGGATTCCATTAGTTTCACAAGTTTCAGTTGAAGATATTAGGGCAGTTAACGAGGGATTCGTGCAGCAACCAACCAGACGTTCAAAACTCAATGTCATTCTGAAAGTTGCATAGGCAGAGCTACGTAATAAATTCTATATGGTTTCACATAGATTAAGATGGTAACATCATAAACCCGTATATAACATCTCTTAATGAAAAGCTTAAAATTAAGTAAAATATGCTAATTAATGGTTGACAACTCAAAGCGGCACAAGGGGCACATGGGACTCCTCTCAAGCCACAGAACAATGCAAGTCTTGTGGAACTTGTGGGAGCATGGCAAGCAAGTGACTGGAGAACTTGTTACCATGTTTTCCAAACAGATTGCACAAGATGATGTGGAGTGATCAACACCATCGAGGGTAACGTCCTCTAAAGCCTCAATCGATGATTTCGTTGCGGGAATGAGTTTGGATCCTTCTTGCTCTGCTAATGCTCTTGTTGCACCATCGATTAATGAATCCAATGAATCAATTCCCAACTCTTCGCGTCTCTCTCTGAAGGGCTGAAAACTCATTCTATCCAAGGATGGGCTGCTAAAGGTATTACGATGACGATTCATCAAAGAAACTGCAATACTCAACTCCCGTGCTAGTTCTTCAAAGCTTTTTGCCTTAACCATTTCCTCGAATTCATGGTGTGGAAGAATAATTTTCTTTACAAGACTCAAAACCAACTGGAACCCCTTATGTTCTGCAGTACTATTAGAAGCCAAGCTTTCTTTGCATCGAGTAAAATCCAGTATGCAACTAAATAGATCATCCTGGTTCTTCAACCGGGTCCAACCTTTTCTCTGATCTCCTCTCCATTGAAGCCTGTCTAGTGCGAAGGGGATGTTTGCATCAGATATTGCCCTTGAAAGAATTTCCCAGGTCAAAGAGCGACCTTCAAAGCTGTATTGTTTTGATGGGCTATGATTCATAAAGTTTATGCTTTGTTGGAGACAGTAGGTTGGTACCCTAGAGGAATGTCTATCATCTTAGTAGACTGCCTTTTTCCCTTTTTCTTATGTTAGAACTACAAAGCTTCTAGCATCTTGCCTCATCAATCAAGTGGCACTTGTAGTCGTGTCGAACCTTGGTTCGATGGAAATTTCTACTTCTTTGGCTACTTGTTTAGCCAACGGGCTAATAGTTTTATCGAATAAGTGATTCACATCTATAATCACTCTGTCGCTATGATAACGCATACATTCCGTCATTTCAGCGAGTATAGTTATTAGCCATATCGATGCTCTTTTGCGATGATTCAGCTATAGAAGCCCTTATCCCGTTGTTGCCTTCTTCAAGTTGATTTGACACTAGTTATAGGTGTTGATTTATTTGAGTACTCATATCCACGAGTTGGATCATAGATTTTGTTGAGTAGTTCTTCGGTTCGTTTTGACAAAATCGTTGAATACTCAAGTTTGGTTCTTTCGGCGTTATGTCTTGTCCCCTAGTAGTAAAGGTATCACTCCTTTTAAGTTCATAGGTTCTTAAATTCGATACCAAACTTGTTTTGGCCATTGTTATGGCTTTTTTCTATCACATTTTCGGGTAATCCCTCTTGGTTTTCCATAGCCTATCCACCAGTATCGTTTCCTATATTTTCTTTTTCTTTAAGAGGCATACCATCAAAAACCCGGACCATTCCTTTCAAAAAACTGATTATGTTTCATCGATTTGGTCTTCTCTAGAGGTTGGATGTTTTATCATGCTTCTAGTAATACCATGTTTTGACATTGATTCTCCCACTATGGTCGTCAAGATTTATTGTTGCTCGTCAAATTTGGTTTTAAATATGGAGTAGATCGACACTTTAATTTATAACCAAGTATTTTGTGAGGAAATAATAAAAGGTTCAATGTCGCCTAGTAAGCCACTATGACTTTTACGTGGTAGTTCAATTTGAGTGATAAAACTATAAATAAATGAGAATATTGTTAATCAAAAGAAACAAATATTCAATAAGACAAACCGAGATATAAATATTATAAATCGAAAGATACAATACTTACATCAACGAGTCTTGGATGGTGTTGAAGCCATTTGATAATACTTGAACTTGAAAATTCTAAGTTACTGGAAAGGAAGATAAATGCTACCAATTTACTCGCAGGAAAGTAAAGGTTATTCTAAAAAGAACAAGATAAAATTAATCTTAAGAGAAATCTTATCATGATGTTATTGTCCTTTGTTTGTCTTCCTCCTCTTTCTTTTAAACCATTATTGATTGATAATTGTCTAGAGTTTCAAATTTGAGCGCAAACGGTTATCGGGCTTTATCTTCCTCTCTGTCCATTAACATTAGTTGGTTTATGAAACCAAACGGAATCTTTGTTTTATCGATATTGGTTGGTTGTAAAACCAAACATATCATTTCATTTAAGATTCTCAAATCTTTATTTCGTCGATATTGGTTCGTTTATGAAACCAAACGCATCGTTTTATTCAATATTCTCAAATCTCTATTTATTGATATTGATTGTTTTATGAAACTAAACGCATCATTTCATTAAGATTCTAAGAATGCATCATTCCGATTAAGATGTAGTGTTTTAGCATGTAAATACATATCGATTCCAATCGACACGTGACTTTGAAAATTTATGTATGCCAATAATATCAAAAGGGTTTCATTCTTTATTATTATTGAAATCATGATGAGGTAATGCTAGTTACTTGAACGATTTGCAGTTGATTGTATGATGCTCAATATACAACACACGATAAGAAAATCATGATTTAACGACATATTTTAGCGATAGATACCAATTCGTTGCTAAAAAATGAGTTACTAGCGTTTGTGAGATTTAGAGATGGAATAGAAATGGTTTTACGATAGTTTACAAGCGACATATAAAATTTCATCACTATTTGAAGCACTAAAATCTTCTTGAGTGTTTTAGCAAAAGGTTAGCAATGATAGGTTATTATTTTTATCTCTATTTTTAATATTTTTCTTTAGCGATAGAATAGGTTGAAACCCCTCTTTAGTTCTAAACAAATAAGCGACCTTTTGGAATTAAAAAGCCTCTAATTTAACCATGGCTTAGTGATGGACACATATATCCGTCGCTAAATAACAATGGATCAACGACGGATTAGCGACGAGATCGCATTCTAAAAACATGGGTAGCCTTTTGGAATTAAAAATTCACTCATTTAACGATGTCTTAGTGATGAATCAACAATGGGATCGCGTCCGTCGTTGGACCGAATCCCTAAATAAATCCTTTTTCCCTTTCTTCTTCTCCCATTTTCTTTTTCCCTTCATTCTCCTCCTCTAGCCGTCGATCCTTCCCCCACCCAAAACCATCACAAAACTTCACTCCTCCACTCTCCATCGATCCACACCCACTCTAAATTCTATTCTCTCTAAACACCTTGTTTTTCCTTCTTTCTTGTCGATCCGAATTCGGTAAGTTCTCACTCTCTTTTGTTTCTTCAAAATTAGTTATTTTTTATAATTGTTAGCTTAATATTAAATTTAATTAGTTGATTTATAATTTTGTATAGTTTTAGTTGTTAATTTGTTGATTAATTTTTTAATTTTTATTTTTTTGTTAGATATTAGATTAATTTATTAATTAATTGTTTGATAAATTTAAGTATGTTTGAATTAGGATTAATTTAATTTAGGTTCGGATGGTGGGACCCATTTTCCTCCCAAAATTGGGAGGAAAGTGGGAGAAAAAGCATAGCAAAACATCAAGAATATAAATATTGTCATGTTTGCCCTCATTTGCCTCATCCGTTTGGTTTGCCTCTCCATTTCTCACGTCCTACTCTCTCCGTAGTAACACATCATGGCAAAACTCACCAAAACAGATCCGCATATCAATTGCCGACTTTATATAGATAATTTATCACCGATTTTTACACTCTCGTTATTTCTCTATTTGCTTATTTTTCTTGTCTTATCCTCCCCTCATTCCCCATTTTCGATCAAGCACATCCAACTAATTTCGATTATTGAATACGCATTTTTTTATCTCTTCTCTACCTCAAAATAGTCGATTCTTCTCCTTGGTAGCTTTCATTTTCCGTACCTCATGCTTTAATCATTCTTCTTCTATGTTGTCGTCTTTTCTTTTGCCTTGCTCTCCTTCCGAATTATACAACTACCCTTTGATTTGTTCTTATTATTTTTTATTTTCTTTGATTTATTTGCTTAGATTGGTGTCATTTTGCCATTCCATGTTTTTTGACTAATGGGTCTTTGCAATTTTATTGTTTTTTAGATAGGTTTTTCTTGTTTCTCTTTGGTTCTCAATTTCGGGGTGAATTTTTTAGGGCCTAGTTTGCTATGATTAATCAATGGCTATTGTGTTATTTTGTTGTTCATGCAACTCTTTTTAGGAAAGCTTCTTATGTGTTTTGTGTTGGGAATATTAGAGTGTTTCTTTATTTTATTTTTTTTCCTGGACAAAATTCGGAGCGTGTCGACTTGAACTTCTAATATGTCGAAGTTGAATTGGCTTGGTCTTTTCATTATTTACCTATTTTCCATCTAAGTATAATGTGTTTAATCGTGCATGAGCCTTTAAAAGGAATAAAATATGGATAACTAAATGGTTGGTCGTAATGCGACCATCACTCGTCGTTAACAATGATTATGGAAATAGGTTTTATATGTTACAAGAGTGGTTTCGTTATATATTTTCGTGTTTTATATGTTAAGCAAGTTAGTTAAATGAATGTTGTTAGAGCTGATTTCTTCTTCGTTTGTGTTATTTTGAATGTCCTTTGACTTTTTACTAATTAATAGGTGGTACGTTCAGTTGTAGTACTTGTGAACTAAAATATTAGATTGAATTTCATTCAAAAGACTCTCCTTTTCATCCTGTAAGTAAGCTTAGGGTTATTGGCATTAGTTTACTTTCCGACCTACATGTATCTTTATATTATGTTACTCTATTCGTTGTCATTGCCATTAGCAAACATGCATGCCTATATTTGAAAATGGCACTTTAACACTGTTCTCACCCATGTTCTTAGATTGCTTAAAATTAGAATATGATGGTAACTCGGTACTTAAGGATAGTTTACACTATAGTTGTGGCTTGAAAGTGAAAAAATATCATTAGTATAGGTTTTGAATTATGAATGGTTCTCAAAAGTTTCAATGCAAAGAGAGTTTTTTTTTTTTAAGTTAGAAATTTATATTTTCCTAGAACTTAATTCTAAAGCCTTAGTTGGAAGCTAAGTATGATGAAGTGGAAAGCCAGCAACCATAATGATGATGCATGGAGCTGGAGTGGGTGCTGCGATTATGGAATTATGTGTAGTGTGCCTTTGTTGCATTGTCTGTATTAATCCGATACTTGTTTTGATATTGCATAATAAGAGCATTAATAATAGATCATTAATTGCAAAACATTACACTCTAGTAACAATCCATTTTAGTATTTGTCGATTGACACACTTGCACTTTAGTCAAATGAAATAGTAGTGTTGGGATTTCTATCGCAAACTCGGATCCTTTTCTCCTAGAAATCTTGAGAGCGTATCGTGTTGTTAGGAAAGCTCTCGGTGCTAGTAATATAGATGATATTAATATAGTACGTATTTTAAAAGCCCAAAGGGATTTAAAAGGTTAGGTGGTATGAAATGTTTACCAAACAATGGTGCACTCGATCTTTTCCAATGTATAGTTTCAAATTTTTAACGATAGACATTTTTTTTAACTTTAAAAGAAACATTGTAATAGGTTAGGTTGTACATGGAAAGGGATAAAGTTAGGGACGAGGCGAAATGACGAGGATCGGGAGAAATCTAGGGATATTAAGAGTGATTCAGGACACTTTTATAATTCCAACAAGAATTCTTTTGGACGGGGAAAAGACAATCTAAACAAGTAATTTTAATCCATATAATTGAAATGCTTACTTCAATTCAAAAAGTCTTTTACTTTCAAGAAAATATATATCTAGCTTAA